TCAAGGCTGTGCTCGCATAGGCGTAATGAAAGCTAAAGCAATTTCGGTGATTGTATGAGATACCGCTTTATTTTTATTCTCTTTTCTTCGCAATTTTTCAAGTTATCAATATATCTTGTTATTCAATATAATTGCTTATGTATAATTCAATTTGATATCCGTACATGGATTATAAGTGTGTAGATCTTTGATTAAAATGACACGAAAGAAAAATTAATCAGCAAAACAATTCTCTCCAACTAGTTAAATTCGAATATGACGTTGAATATGAAAAATTCTCAGAAAGATTCTATGAAAAGTTTCTCAGAAAATAAATCGTCACTCACCATCCGATGATTTTTGCTGTATCTCGTTTCTAGGGTGCATCACCTCCGTTTCTGTTTTGTCGCCAGCCGCGTCACCGTTCGTCTTTTGATGATGATGATCCGTCGCCTGATTGTGAACAGGCGTGGGAGTGGCGCCCCGAGAGCCGAGGCTTTTTTCCCGGGTTTTCCTCTCCTTTTGCTCTTTGGTATTTGAAGGCAGCTCGGTAGCGTTGGGTTTCCTTCTCGGCGGCGAGTTCGACGAAGTCTTGGATAGATTAGGGAATGGCTCCTTAGTAGGAACGGGATTGGTGCTTGAGACAATAGCGGACGGTTTTGGGACTTCCTGGGTAACGTTACTCCAGTACGGAGTAACCGGCGTCTGTACTACATTGGACGAAGCGTTAAGACTCTTGGTGGCCTCGGGTCCGGATCCAGAGCCGACTCCAATTCCAATTCCGGTTCCAGTTCCAGTACTGGTTCCGCTTCCAGTTCCAATTCCGGTTGCAGCTACAGTGCCAATAGTCCCGACAACTTCGGGCTCGGTTTCGGTCGTCACCGTCGCTGTCACAGCCGTTGTTTCGGTGTTAGCAATCGGCGCGGTAAGCTGCACGGAAACAGTATCTTTATTCGCGACGGCTACCACTCCGGGTACGACGGGTGACGATTCTTCGATCGTCACACTCTTTATTTCATTCCTAGGTTGAAACTCTTTCACGGGGAGTTGCAACGCTTTCGACTCCGTTTTTGTCGCACTCGAGTCGATTTGCGCCGCATTACTACAAGCACCTAACGATTGACTATTTATCGTAGGTACCGTTTTGCCAGCGCCAGCGCTAGCTATATTTTTTGAGGGCATAGGCGAACTATTGCTACACTGACTAATTGTCTCATTAGCGGAATTGATTTGAACGTTCGATAACGACGTTTGCGCTGTTGTTTGAATTATATTAGACGCCGTTTCGGACGCGCTCGTCGATACCGTGTCAGACTCCTCGGTCGCGGCCTTTGCGACGCGAGCAGCAAAATCAGCTATCACCTCCGCACCGTTATTCTGTAACAATCACCAAATCTGCGTGATAGACGGTGGGTGGCACGTGCCATTTATTCAGGCATTACGTTCAAACTAAAATCTTGTTTTCAAACTCAAATCATAGGGCGAGAGAAATCAAAACAAAAGCACTTGGACGAACGAAAAATATTCAAGACTTTACAAATCTGTCACCCTACAGCCATCAAATCCTCATTTATATTTTTAGCATTACACCGACCAATCTGAAAAAATAATCGACATCATATATAATATTGGGTTTAAATGCCATTATAAAATTTTCTCATATACATTTATGAAATTGTCTAGAATTATTAATCAATATTTTTTAAATCTTTCTCAAATACAATTTCACTCAATTTACTCGACACAATTTGCGAGGATATGACTTGTATGGGTATACAGATACAAATATACACAATTGGCTACGAGAGTTAGTTTATAATATATAAATTTAAGATATATTTTTGCATTATATAATTAATGAGCATAGGCTTCAATAAAGAATATGCTAAACTCTCTTAGCCAATTGTCAATATATTTCAACGTAACTCACCTGTGGTTGTGGCGTCTCGCGATTACTGGATTCACCACTCTGCGTAGTTTCGTTATCTTTATAAATTTCGTCACTTATATTTTTGCCGGTTAACGGATTTACTATGTCCAAAATCGCGTTCTGTCCTCTAGGTTTCCGAGATCTGGTAGTACTGTTAGTATTCGTTGCGCCACCATTGTGTCCAGAGTATACATCTATAAAAAAAAAAAGAAAAACAAAAATATATTATCCAACTTAAATTATAAAAGTCCTATTTGACACAAGAAAATTAAATCCATCATTCTAAAAACGTTATATACATACATACATGATACACGCACACGCACGCGTACGAATACATATAAATTTATATGTGTACGTATGTATATTACACAAGCCTTTTTCAACTGTTTTTTTTTGTTTAAGTAAAAGATAAATAACGTGTATTATTCTTTGCGATTCTACATAAAACTGAAATCTATATTTCATAATAAACTCTCTATATGTTCAAATCAGTACAAGATTTAATAATCAATAAACTGGGTTAATGTGTATGGCTCTGTGTGTGAGAAACTGATCTACAATTGTTGAATTCCAAGTTCAAAACCAATCGTTATCCCATATAATTTAAAAAGTTAAGAAAAATTTTTTCATTTATTAAATTCCATCAAAATAAATTAAAAACTTTATCATTTATTGATATTTCGATTCTTGTCCATTGCAAGATCTTTCTCTAATTTTAATTTGGATTATTATCAAGGAATCGCAAAGAATTAATACTTATTAAGTTAAATCTTAAAATAATATACCAGTTTGCGACAGTGGTATGCCCATTGGAGGCAACGGTTGGGCTTGTTGGGCAGGTTGCTGTAGTGTACCTTGCGGTACAACTGGAGCACCTTGCGTACCAGCCAGCGGGCCTGCCACATGCTGCCCTCCACCGCTGACAGCACTTGTACTCGCCCTGGTCAAACTCATGGTGTTTGACGCCGTGTAATAATCTTTCAAAAAATGGTATTTTAATTTCCAATTTAAATTTCTAGTAAAAAAATATACTATTTTTCAAAGATACTTACAACCATGTTGTGGTGCGGGCGCATGGTAACCGAACACATTTGGCGGGGTGATGAGTGGTGGAGGCTGGAACGTCTGATAGAAAGACTGATTTTGATGCGGCTGATGCCGCTGAGGTGGGCCGGAAAACTGAAAAAAAAAAAAGACACTTTATTAGGTTTTGATTCAATTTAATACATCTCAAATATTTACAAGCAAGGTTTTATTTAATAATATATGTATTAAAAAAATTAAGAAAAAAAGAGGGAAAAAATATAACACAAAAATATAAAACAAGTAAATATCAAACAAGTGAGTTGGATCAAGTACCTGATGAATCGGTATTTGATTATTTATGGGGTACACCGACTGCTGATGAGGCCCCGTATGAAGACCATGAACTTGACTTTGGCCTATATACATTGCACTTGCCTGTACCGGTAACGTAGCCGGATGGGGATATATGGCAGGCGGTTGTCCTCCACCACCACCTACCCCAGCCATTCCGACTACTGGTGTGCCACTGGCGCCCTGGCCACCTCTGTGGCTAATGCCACGCGGCTGTTGCGGCCTTGGACCCGTTTGATAATAACCCTATGTAGAAAATTGACAGAGTGTAAGATATTCTGCAAAAAGTCCATTTATTTTGCAAAAAGATTTTCTTTCATTTATTATGTTAACAAGTACGTACCTGAGACGCCGGTCTATTTTGCGTCGGCACGTAAACTTGCTGTAAAGACGGCGGTTGCGTCTGTAAATGAGCCTGCTTTCCCATTTCCTGAGGCGATGGCGTGTGCACAGGAGGAGTAGTAGTAGGCGCTGGACCTTGAGGTGGTTGCGATTGTACTCCCGGTGTCGGGGCCTGTGATGGTGCCTGTCCCCCAGCGGGACCTCCGGGTGGTATACCCGCTGCCGATTGTCCTATCGTCTGTATACCGCCAAGCGGCGGAGGCCCTCTACCCGTGGGTACTCCTACATTACTCGCGGCACTTCCACCTACCTGACCCCCTGGTTGGGCGCTGTAGTTTCCATGAAACTCCGATCCTGAAATAGAATTTGCAACTTGCTCAATCGCGTCGCTGCATTTGTTCAACAATCATATAATCGCCTTAATTCACATAAGTTCTCGCTATCAGAAAATACGCGAATTACAACTAGATTATTTGTTCATATTTTACAGTACAATAAATATGCATGTATAAAACGGCAGCTCGCAAGGCTAGCGTTACGCTCGCGATATGAAAGCGCATTCCTGAATAAATATTTTCACATCTTATATAATTTCTTTTTATTTCAGTATGTTTCTTATGCCACTGTGATAGTTCAACCTTTAATATATATGATTTATATATGCAATAAATATATAAATAAATATCAATGATTGTCAATATGCGTATAAAATAAAAAGACCATGATACATAAAACGATACTTGCCGTGATATAAATGTTTGATCACTTCTCTGGTTTTCCCATTTTCTCTACTTAAAGATTCTTTATCGAGCAGATATCGCAAAAGTCGTTTCAAACATCTATGCGAAATGCGTATACCGGAAACCGAAATTAATCACATCATGTTTAGATTGATTAATCTTGTTGCGAGTTTGTCGTGCTGAACCTTAGATTATTCCGCTAAGAATAAACTCGCATAAGCCTACATATGTGTTATATAATAAAAAGAATGAGAAATGGATTCATTTATCAATTTTTGGTAAAATCAAATGTGTAACAAAACTGAAATAATTTATAACAATCGCAAAACTTTACGTTTAAAATGAAATAAGACAAACCCCGCTCAACAAAAAATTATTTAAATGCTTACGAGTAAACGAGGAACGTAGCACACAAGGCGTCAACTAATCACGAGCTTACATAGTATAGATAAGTAGAGTACGGACGAGTACCCGAACGTCTAATCTCGATAACGAGCGATGTAACATCGGGGCCTGATGCCTTCGTTCCGTCCTGGCTCATATCAATTAGTAATTACTCGCGAAAGGCGAATATGTACGGCGTGCCGTTGCACGAAATGTTGACGTCAACGTTCCCCGTCGGTGAAACACCAAGCGCCGAGACAATCCACGGGGAAATCCCGCAGAGGGAGGGAGGAGAGGGGGGGGGAGAGAGAGAGAGAGAGAGAGTTTTTAAGCTTCTCACGTCTTATCGCGCAGCTCGAACGCAAGGAGTCTTCAAGTCGATGGATGGACGTTTTTTATCTTTTTTCATTGACGTAAAAAAAGATACGAAGACAGAGGAAATACGGAGGTATACGCGTGCTGAATCCAAGAAAAATATGGGATCATTCGTCATCACGTTGTTGCTCACCGTTACAGGATCGTCCGCGCAAATCCGTTCTTCTCCTCGTGAGCCGCACACCGTCCGCGCGTTTCTGTCCAGGATGATTCTGTCGTTACGAGAGCACAACGTTGGCAGAGCGAGAACGAGATTCAAACGTGAACAAACGTACCGACGGTCCGACCTCGCGGACAGCCATCTTTGCACATGTGGGCAGGGACCGGGGCGCAGCGCTGCCATCTGTGACTCCGCGATGGCATCGATTCGCGACCGTCCAGGAGCGACAGCACCGCCGGAAGCGCGCGCTACTCTGGCAGAGGCGCGTATTCAGCACTCACTTTCCGTGTATACGCGTTTCAACACTGATTCTCTCACCTTAAATAGGTTCCGAATATTACTCTGATAAATTCTAGAATTCCAATGAAAAACACAGCTTTCAGAAGGAACGTTGAAAGGTATTCCTGTCACTTGAGTTGAAAAAAAATACGATATTTTCTCCAATGTAATCCGCATACTTTTCTTCTCACGTCTCGCTGATGGGATCGCGAGTCCAGTGCCATGCCGAGGAACGTTTCGTACCGGAACATCACGAGTTGCGACCGAGAGGAAAGGAGAACGGGACCTAGAGACCGCGCGATCGGGAATGCGGAATGCCGCGCCTGGCTTCGTACGTCATTTCCGGTGATGAATGACGTATGTAGCGCGGCATACCCCACCCACTGAACTGCCGCCGATCCCCTCGACGTTGGATGACGATGCGCCATGCCGCGCTCGGTGCATAGCGAGCTGCGCGCACGATTCCAAATAGACTTTGACTCCAGAGCATGTTAATGAGTCTAAACGCACCGATCGGAAGCGCTACGGCACTGCACGTATGCGAATGTTTCGAATGAAGATTAGGTTAGGTTAGGATTAACCTCGCCGTTCGGAGAGCCACGTGGCGCGCCACATCGATATCATCGACAAAACGATTGTATGGAAATGCCGTACGTTGTTAACATCTACGGCGAGATTTACCAAGTGAAAATTCCAATCTCTCGCGCCACTCTTCGTATATTATTTTTTTTCCTGCCCTCTCATGGAATTTAACCATCGGTTCTCGCATAACGTTACGAATAAACAGCAGCCGCCGTCACATGATAACTAGAAGTGTTTGAGTTGCGAGGCGGAAGCTCGTAACATTGTAGATCGATTCGTCAAGGATAGACGAGCTATACTGTTTGCTATGCTTCGCATCATTAATCACGCTTCATCCAGCACCTCGATCGTTAATTCTTTCCCAACAGTATTTCCTTTAAATTATGTACTTTTTATAAGAAAATTACTTTAAATTTTTTACTTGCTCTACATTTGTAATCAAAATTTCCAAAAGAAAGATTTTAATGTACTCTCAGAAACATGTTTAACGAATAGACAAGTATTGAAATTTTTGATTACTAAAATGGGATTTTATGAGACTAATATTTTTCGTTTAATTTATATACATTTTGCGTTTAATTAATTTAATTAATTTAATTAATTAATTAATTTGTATAAAGTACACTAATTTTGTTAAATGAATTTAAGTAATATACGCCTGATAATGCAATTTTAAAAGAGCTGAAGAGAGTTAAACAAAATAAATGGAGAGGGAGAGAGGAAGGGAGAAGAGGAGGAGGAGGAAAAGAAGGAGGAGGGGGGAGGAGGGGGAAGGAGAGGGGGGAGGAGGGAGAAGAAATTAAGATAAAGAATTATGAACAGAAAATTACTTTCACCCCAAGAAAAAACATTTTTGATATTCCTAGATAACTTATCGAAGCACGATTTCCCGTGTGTCGAAAGAAATTTAGTTCTCTATTTCAAGTTCTATTCCTACATTTAACATACCTTTCTTTATTCCTCTTATTGTGTCTGAGCTCTAACATTTCGAAATATCCGAATTATGTTTCGGCTTATCGGGACATTCAACAATAATGAGGTCGTCTCATCGAGAAGAGAGGTCGAGATGGAACGGGACGTACCCCACGCGAAGGGAAAGGATCGAACGTACCTTCACGATGATACAAAGTGGAAAGCGTTTTATCGATTGACCTATATCGTGAATTGTCTAAAGCGCCGTCCCGGGGCGCTAAGAACTAACCTAAATAACAAGCCATCACGATATATCGATATCCGCATACCAGGAAAAATGCCTGACCTACTGTACTATTGGATAAAAAAAATTTGAATAAATCTTGATTCGTACTACATTTCTATCGCGCCGGTGCCACAACGGCCAAAATACGCCTTTTCTTCGGAGACGATCTCACTCCCGATTGTTCGACAAAGAGTACAGAGAGATAACGATTAAGTAGCGATAGCGAAGAAAAGGTCGCATTCTCTAAAAGAGAATTGGCTCGAGATAAAGCAACATTTTCACAAGTATAAAACTGAAGGGATTAAGGTCGATACTAGAGCGTCGTATATCGTTATCATTTTAACGTAACGGCAGCGTTGTACGCATCTTCGCGGAGAAAAGCAGAGAGGAAAGGCAACGAGAGACAGAGGAGGGAAAGAGAAAGAGCCGCGACATGTCGCGATTCGAACCCGTGCATCCGCAAATAGACGCAAACGCGATTCGACTCTTGACAGATAGGTCACCGGGTCAGATTAACTACCCCCAGTGCGCTTGAAAATAACGCGCTTTGCATCATTCCGCTTCGCGATTGCACATACATGCGGCATCACATTGGCCGCATGCGATGTGTGTGTGTGTGTGTGTGTGTGTGTGTGTGTGTGTGTGTGTGTGTGTGTGTGTGTC